TTTTTGTTTTGTTTTCTTTTTTTCTCTGCTTGCTTCTCTTTACTACAGCATTTTGTAGACGCCCTTAAATCATGTCAGTTGTTCAAGATCTTCCTGACCCCTGATTCTGATCAAATTCACCAAGCTGTGTCGGGTATCAGAAGGCCTTACTCTGGGTTAAACTTGGCCGGAATCATGACTGTAGCCAGAGGAACCTTAAAGTCTGCTAACGTTGGCACTGTCCCCTTCTGCTGCTCGGCACTGATAACAGGCTGCTTGCCTTTACTTGGGGACATTTTCCACCCACAAACTAATACTAACCCTGGCCTTGAACAAGGAAAATAAAGGAAGCCTTTCCATGACTATCAAAACTAATCTCATTGCTGCTGCTTCTGCCAGCCATTGGCTTCTAGCCTAAACCAGATATCTTCGCACTTTCTCCTAAAGGGCTGCAGAGTCAGTATCGTAGGCTTTGCAGGCTGTGCTGTCTGAGCTCTGCAGGTGTAGAAGGCAACTAGCCATAGACAATAGGTTATTGAATGGGTGCGGCTGTTCCGGTAGAACTGTAGTTAAAAAACATTGCAGACTGATTTCGCATGCAGGCTGTCATCTGCCGGCGCCTGATCTGAGCGCTCAGTATCTGCAGCTGACCAGCCCTTTAGTGACCATAAGCTCACTGACNGAGGCACATCAGTCGCCGGCTTCTGGACGGCCGCTCATGCTGGCTGCAGCTCCTTCTTTTTTGCTGTCAAGTGTCCAGCGTGCCCCTTTTCTAAAATAGTAAATATATTACTTTTATTTTGTTAGCTTCTCATGTTTCTCATTTTCTTTTACTGACAGTCTTTGGAAACGAGTGGCTGTTGTTTGCCATCTCTGTTTCCTTACTGCCCACTCACTTGTTTACGCAGAGGTCATCCCCTGGATTCCTGTTATGGGCTTGCAACCACGCTCGACTGTGAGGCATCGAGAGATGAAGTTTCCTGCCTTAAAGCTGAAGCACGTTTGAGCAGACATTTATAATACAGTGTGATGGGTGGATGTGCTCATCTGCAGAAGGAGAAAGGGGTGCTGGGGGCGATTATCAGCTAGGAATGGCATGCTTCAAGTCACATAGGCACGCATGCTGTGGCCAGGAGATGGATATGGTTGGAGCACGGGGTGTTAGTAGGGGACTTTGAGGACCTTTGAAGTGTATTTCAGCGTGCGCAGGCCTAAGCCTTCTGTCATCACAGGCCATCAGGACCTTAGCTTCTAGACCTTCTAAGAAAGTTCATGCCCTTTTAAGAAGGTCCAACCCAGCATGGACTGGAAGTTACTTTACTTCCAAAGAGTTTTCTCTTTGCTTCTGGAACCCAGAGATTTCACATCACTTCTCTTGAAATAGTGTGTGTGTGTGTGTTGAGGAGGTGGAGGTTCTGTTCAGAATTTTTTTGGGGGGAGATGTCTACTCAGCTATGGGTGTTTCCTTTGTGTGTGTGGGGGGAGGTCTTAGTTAAAATTTCTGTATTTTGTAGAAGAGGAGTGTCTGTGTCAACACAGTATGTTATGTTACTGTAAATAGAACCAGAACTGCACCGTTTGTTGCAACCAGGCCGATTAAGTTCAGGGTTAGTTCACCACATTGGCTGCTGAATGCTTGGCTGCTCCATTTTCTGTCCATGTTGTTTATTTAAGTGCTTAGATAGTGTCTTTGATTACTGACAATGCATTGAGTTTTCTTAGGCTATTTCAACATTCTTATTCAAAATGATTACATACCTGGCGTTGCTTGGATTTAATGAATTGCATCCTTGAACAGTATGTTTCTTTTTATATCCAGACCCCTTGAGATGGGAAGTTTTTTGAGGGGAGCTCAGGATACATTATTTTTCCTGAAGTTCCCATATCTTAGGGTGTTTAGCCAAGTCCTTCTTTTTTGTCTCTAGAAAAGTTCTGACAACTGGCAGTTTCACTGAAGGGGCCAAATAGATGTATTTTCAGTGCAGTAAATAGCCTTTTGTTTAGAAATGTTCTCGGAGTAAAGAGAACATCTAATTTCTTTTTAAACACAGTAAAATTATGATTTAAAAATAGCCTAATAGACTATTAGACTAGGCTGTTTAGAAAGTTGGTTTTTTAAATTTTTGGTTTATATATTTAGAGATTCATAGAACCATTAGAGTTAGGAGGGACCTCAGAGTCCAGTGTACTAGAACCTGCAGAGGTTAAATGGCCAGTAAGGAGCCCACCCCACTGCATTAAGCCCTTGAGCTCCTGCAAGCCGGCCCCATCCATTCCTCTTTCCAGGTCCCCACCCACGCTGGATACTGATTATATGTGTGCGAAAGCTGTCATAATTCATCTCCTAAGAGTGCTTTTAATGAAAGACAATTATCTAAGATTCTAAGTATTTCCTCCATTCCCAGTGCATAATTTGCATGAAGGATCGATGGTACCCAATATGTTTGTCTTTTTACCTGCAGATAACGCGATTTCTTTTTGTTTCTTTTAGAACGTCCAGTTGCTGATAATGAGCGGATGTTTGATGTTCTGCAGAGATTTGGAAGTCAGAGGAGTGAAGTGCGTTTCTTCCTTCGTCACGAACGCTTCCCTGGCAGGGACATTGGTAGGTAGTATTGCGTGAGTCACCACAAAGATTTGAACTTTGATTTCATGCATTGGAGGGGCTGGGGGAGAGGTGGCATGTGACCAGGACCCAGGTGAGATGAGGGGTGAATGTGGTAAGGACATGGAAACAGTGAAGAGCGACCACTCCTCTAAGACTCGGCTGTTGTGGGGAGACGAGAGTATGGTTTGGTTTGGTTTGACGACTGGAGAAGTTGTGTGATAGTTTTTAATGCAAGTGGGAAGGAGTCAGTAGAGCAGGAGGTTGAAATATGAGAGAGAGAGAGAGAGAGAGAGAGAGGATACGCTTGATGGGCAGTCACTAGGAAGGTGTCCCCTCAGCCCCTGGCGGAGAGATTCTTTCTCGTGGGCAGAGGAGGGAGCCTCCGTGGTAACAGGACAGAAAGAAAACTGTTGCACATGCAGATAAATGCGTGCGCTTGTGGGAGCAAGTTGAGGGACTTCTCATCTGAAAACACTTGTTTTCTCTGAAGTCGGAGGCGAAATCATCTGACAGTGATGATGGAGGTGGGTTTGAGCTGCTGTAGAGCATAGGAGAGAGCCCTGCTGGGGAAGCCAGACTGCTGGGGAACGTGGAGGCCAGTGGACCCCCATGAGAGAGCACGGAGACCATGAGACCACGAGTGACTTTTCTTCAGCCCAGAGGGTCGTAAGAGGATGAAAAGGTGGTAGGAGTGACCTAAGGCTGGGGTTTTGCCGGACCAGTTCAGTGCACGTCCGTGGGGCCGGGGTGAGAGGATATAGGCAGGGTGCATCTGAGCTGCAGGGGAAGAAGTCAAGGCAGGAGGGGCTGCAGGGAAAGAGTGGGCGGGCTAACCCGGGAGACCGCAAGTCTCTGCTCAGTGAAGGGTGTAATGAGAGGAAGTGATGGTCCAAAGTAGAATGTCTGAAAGTAAGATTGCAGAGGCAAAGCACTTCCAGGTGATGTGGCTCCCGCGTGGCCATGGAATGAGCCTGAGTTAGAGCGGCGACAAGGAAGCCACAGAGAGAGGCTGGCTTTGGCATGGGCAAGTCACCCAGAACGAAGGCAGGACTCGGAGTGGAGGGAACAGGCGTCGGGGTCACATGTGTAGTGACGAGGGTTGTGACCAGAGTTATAGATGACAAGAAGGAGAGGGTAGAAGGTAATACCTGAAGGTGAGAAGTCGTGGGCCGAAAGCAGCGCCAGACGTTAAGGACACAACCTTCCCTGGGACCCAGGAGGTCTTGTAGGATGTGGGAGGGTAAGCAGTTTCAGATCTGAGATCATGGGAAGGTGCTTTCTCAGCGGGAAGCCACTGGTTGAAGCAGGGTTACTACAATAGGTATTTCTAGAAATGTTGGAACTTTTAAAATGGAGAGTTGAGGTTTTGTGCCTTCAGTGTACAGTCCTTGGGAGTAAGAGTGTAGGTAACAGATGTTAATTATTGGATGTTAAAATAGCCACTTTATTGCTTTAATACAAATATCCATGCGGTACCCAGCAATTAGAAATTATTAAATTCAGAGTGGGGGACCCCAGAATTGACTTAGTCTGGCCTCTTCCACTCTGTAGATGAGTAATGCTGATACTTAGGGGTTAAATGACTTGTCAGAGGCCACACACCTAGACGCAGAGCCAGGAGTGGAACTTGAATCACCTCAGTCAGGCTGGTTGACATGCCTTTCAGTATCACCGGTGTCTGTCGTTTTAATTTAAATAAGCACTTATTTTTTCCTAAGCCTTCTTTTTTTGTAGTTTTAAATTGGCACCTGTATTTTATTTTTATTCTGTTTTCTATTTACATCCCTTCAAACATCCTTTTCTAACGAATGAGTTGAATTTTACCTGTTCATCTACCAGTTCAAATGTCCTCCGGTATAGTACTGGGTTAATTATTAAACAGCCTCTCAACAGTGCAATATGCAGTTTCGGTGTGTCTGTAATGTGAGAAATATAATCTGCAGATAAAGGAGCTGTTTTCACATGTCACAAAACAGCAGTGCCACATAGTGTTTAAATTGGGATAAAACAGGATTGCTTTTTAATGGCCTTTAGTGAGGTGCTACTAGCCTTTTTGATGTAGACGTCTAGATTATGGAACAGGAGACTGTTACCATATTATTTCCCCCCGTTTAACTAGGACCTGGGACCCAGAATGTACATGAAATTATTTTTAAGGCCCTTGCCTTTTACTCTAATTAGGAACTGAACATACTAAGGAGAACATGATTCAGTGCTGTCTTTGAGGCAGCAAAGAAAGCAGTTTCTCTTAAATGGTAGATTTCTTTTTCTTGCAGAAATATTGTGACAGATTACCCGAGCTATTTTGTCAGAGCATGGAACCGTATTTTAAAAATAAAGCTACCACGTTAGAGTTAGTTATAAAGGTATAAATGTGGACCTGGCTCTGAGGATATTATATTTATTGGTATGGGGATTGGTGCTAAGCTTCAAGGCAGGTACAGTAGACGTTTGATTCCAAAGAAATTTCTTGAGAAATAATTTAATAATTTTTCTATTTACTGGAAGTACAAATACAAGTTTAATTTCATGTATTTAAAAAATTATTTGTTGATATTATTTGTTTCTTATGCTGTATCAGTTGAAATTAAGACTATTTTCTCCTTGGGATGCATTAAGTGGTACTGAGAGACCCATATATTTTGGCTTAGAAAACTATTTTTAACCAAAAAAGCAGAATACAGTGTTTTCCAGTTAGTATGTTCCCAAACTAAGAATATGGCAATTTTTTTACTTAACTAAATGGGGACATATTTCATAGTACTTATGAATTACCACCAAATGCCCTCAATAAGCCAAATATTCAAAATACCACTTGTTCTATTTTTCACTTGCTTTCTTATCCTAGACGCTACAAACACTGTTAATGAGCACAAGGATGGATTGATTTAATTTTCACTTAATTCTTGCAGCGAAACTGTTTCTGATTTCACTACGGAGTAGCTAAATTGAGAATTAAGAGGAGCTACTCTAGCAAATGGTTTGAATTACCCATAATCAGAAGTATCCTTATCTTGTTAAGTTTTCCTCCTCTGGTCTCTGAATCATCAGCTTTCCTAGGGAATAGTTAGCATGTGGCATTTTGTAGTGCTCACTGTGCACTGTTCCAAATAAGGTTTTCCAAAGCAGGCAGAATTATGAGACATTAATACCATTGACATTAGAAAATACTTTAAGTATGCTTTCAGCTGAAAATATCGAAGGGCAGTCATTATAGAACTCAGAAATGAAGTGGTACTTACAGTATCTGTCAACTCTGGTGTTAATTTATAGTTTTGAATTTTGTGTCTAGTGAGTGGACCAAGGTCTCAGGATCCAGGTTTAAAAAGAAATGGTGTAAAAGTTCCTGGTGAACATCGAAGGAAGGAGAATGGGGTAAGTGACCATTTTCACCCATGCTGTGCATACATATACCACACTGCTACTGCCTAGCAATGTTCCGTCTCATTCATTGTTACTTTGTTGTTCAGTGGGTTATTAAGGATGGCCCTTTTTAAAAAGGTTATTTTAGATTTCTTTCATAGAAGCAATGAATTTCAGTGAGCTCTGCAGTGCTGACTATTGAAAGGAGTTAGTTGCTGAATGTACCACACAATAAGAGCAAAACAAATGTTGAGCAAATTTAAGGAAGTATTTGTTTTTTGGTGATTTTATTTATTGCTG